TAGTGAGGGCCCCTTCCTAAAGTTTCTACCACCTCCCAAACTAGTGTCACCAGATGGAGACCAAGTGTCCAACATGTGAGCCTGTGGGGGACATTTCCTATTTACTATAACACTATCAACATCCTGCACCCGAGTGGTAATAAAGTTAAAACTTCCATTAACAAAACCATTATCTCCTAATGCCTATAGTTCACATTACGGTTGTGCATTCTAATGTTAAAACCAACATATAATGATGTGCCCATCATCCTAGTATCATACAAAATAGTGTCTGTGCTCTAAAAACCCTCCATGTCCACCTTCTCATTCTTCTTCTTACCCCTGGCAACCACTAATATTTTACTGCTTCCACAGACTGACTTAAGTGTCCTCAATCTGCTGACCCTGCTCCTCCTCCCAGTAAGAATTTACTCCTACATAGCAATTACATCAGAGAAGACCAGTAAGGTAACATATGACCAATAACCTTTAGTTTATTTTTCATAATGGCCATAACCAGAGTAACTAGAAGTGCTATTGTCTGTCCTAACAGAGAAAACATACAGATTCACTAACAGCACTTATTATTTGTAATCCAAGACCATCTTTTTATGAGTGTTCTTTGTCCATTGTATAAACTGCTCTAAAAAACATCTCTGTGCTTTCCCTTACTCAGACAAGGCCCACCTCCTTTACTGTTTTTCCTCTTCATTACTGTTTCCTTCATCTACTTGTTTCTCTCCTGATAATGCAACTAGTAATTGAAAGATGAACCTAATAGAACCATTGGGAGGAATACAGACACATATTGTTAATGGCTTTACCCTTTATTGCATTGGGTTAAATTATAAAAGACATGACAAGCACAATTTGTCTATAATTTGTCCAAACTATACTCGAGTATAGTTTATCAAGAGTTAAGAGAGGCCAGATGAAGGAACAGAAGACCCAAAGAAGAGGGATAGAATCAGAAGAGGGTCTAGAAGAGAACTCCAAGGAAGACTAATATTTTGACAAGCAAATGAGATGACCAGATAGTTTTGTTTTGGGTTTTGTTTGTGTGTTGTTTATTGGTTTGCTTTGTGTCAGTACTGGGGCTTGAACATAGGGCCTAAGAACTGTCCATGGACTTCTTTTGCTCAAGGTTAGCACTCTTCTTGAGCCATATCTCTACTTCTGGCTTTTTTGATGGTTAATTAAGAGTCTCATGGACTTCCCTTCCTGGTCTGACTTTGAACTGGTATCCTTAGATCCCAGGCTCCCACGTAGCTAGCTCCATTGCTTTCTTAATTTAAAATTTTTGTCTTACTGGGCACAGGTGGCTCAGACCTATCATTTTAGCTACTCAGGAGACTGAGATCCGAAGATCATGGTTTAAAGCCAGCCTCAGCAGACAAATCAACTAACCAGCAAAAATCTGGAACTGTAGTCGTGGCTCAAATGGTAGAACACCAGCCATGAGAAACAAAAGCTGAGCAAAAAAAACTTGAGGCTCTGAATTTAAGCTCCAGGATGTATATAACTAAATAACAAATGAAAAATAAACATTTTGTCTCATGTCATATTTAGCTCAAATTCTGTAGCAGGTCTAACATGTAACAAGTTTCTGATACTTAAGAAAAAAATTGACTGGGAGCTGTTGGCTCACACCTATAATCTTACTCAGGAGGCTGAGCTCTGAGGATTCTGGTTCAAAGCCAGACCAGTCAGAAAAGGCCATGAGACTCTTATCTCCAGTTAACCACTAGATAATCCAGAAATAGAGCTGTGGTGTTGCACTGGTCTTAAGCAAAAGAGCTCAGGGGCATCACTCAGGTCTTGAGTTCAAGCCCCATGACCAACAACAACAAAAAATTTAATAGTAAGTACATATAATAAAGGCAATTATCCATTATGAATTCTGAATTGACATGTATTTTAAAGCTCATTTGTAAGTCAGTCCCTAGGTATGCTACCCTTAACTTTTTCATCAGAAAATATAGTAATTGGAGATTAGGGCTCACAGTATACAAACATTTAACTTTTCAGTCACTTAACAAAAATTCTTACATAGTTTACATACTAAGATGGGCCCTAGATTCTAAGAATTTAGATAGAACATTTCTTCTTCCCTCTTCTTCCTTACCATTCAGCTTCTCCATTCTTCACTTTTTCCTCTTGCCTAAATGAATCTGCCTCTTTCGTTTGTATGACACAAAAGTTAAAAATGTTTTTGTATTTTTATTTTTTTCAACCTCAGGGTTATAAAAAAAAATGGTTCAAATTTCATAGCAGGCCATGGCATAAGAAACTTGACATGGGCTGGAGAAGTGGCATGTGAAGCCAGGAAGCAGGGAAAGGGGCTCTGCAGGAAGATTGAGTTGGGAGTATTTACATAAGGACTCTCAAACTTGCTAAGCTTGTTCTTGTTACAAGACTTACTGGTCCTGCCAGCTATCTGTACAAACCTTGTCTAACAAATCTTCCTATGGCTCACTCCTTGAGCAGATTTTTGAGCAGTCCTCTGCTTGAAATGTTACCTTCAAAACATGGAAGTCTCCTTACTGCCTAAAGTAATTGCTTTCTTCACTTCAGCCTCTCGCCCTGCTTTCTGCTTTCTTTAGGCACTTATCACTACCTAAGATTGTTACTTTCCAATAGATTGTAATTGTCCTGTCTGTTGAGACTATAAATTCAAGAACTCATTTTCTAGATACCTAGAACACTATCTAGAATATAGCAACCATTCAGTTTTTATGACAGAATGAATTAATGGGGTCAGCTTCATGGTAAGAAAGTGGCTAGACAAGTAGAAGCAATTAAAGATAGCCTGCAAGCTAAAATAAAGTTGTCTAGAAAATACCTTCAATACCGACAGGTGCCCTCTGTAACAGTATTAGCCAAGGAATTATTTCTCCAGACCTGAGTTATAGTCTATAGCGTAACCAAAATTGGAACAGAAGTATTTACCTATCTTAAGAGAATCATGATGCTGGGTGCTGGTGGCTCACACCTGTAACCCTAACCTCAGGAGGTTGAGATTTGAAGATTGTGGTTCAAAGCCAGCCAGGGCAGGAAAGTCCATGAAACTCATCACCACGTATCTACCAGAAAACTGAAAGTGGCAGAACACTAGCCTTGAGCAAAAAAGAGCTCAAGGACAATGCCCAGGCCCTGAGTTCAAGCTGACAACTGACGAAAGAAAGAAAAAAGAAAAAGAAATCATGATTAACTGTATTTTAGAGCCACTGTTTACATACAGACCATGTAATCACATTGTCAAATTACTTAAGACAAGTGTTATGATGAAAACATTTCACTAATGACTGGTTAACCTAGCTTCAAACACAATACACAGATTAAAGCAGAAAACTGGATTTTGAGCCAGGTGCTGGTGGCTCATGCCTGTAATCTTAAGTTATTCAAGAGGCTGAGATCTGAGGGTTCAAAGCTACCCCAGGAAGACAAATCCAGAAGACTCTTATTTCCAATTAACCACCAAACAGAAGTAGGGCCGTGTCTCAAGTGGAAGAGCACTACGTAGCTTTTTGAAAAAGCATGAAGCCCTGAGTTCAAGCCACAGTACTGGCACAAAGCAAAAAAAGGAAGAGGGGGACAGAAGAAAAAAAGGAAGGAAAGAAAGAAACATGAACTTCCTCCAAAGGAATGCCAAGGAAAAGGGGGAGACTTCTATGGTGCATGTGACATTTTACATTAGGCTAAACATGTGCCTACAATAGTGTCTCCCCTCTTTGTGGCCTATGTTACTATGGTAATGAAGCAAAGGTTACAGTTGGTATTGGGTTCTTCTTGCAAATGTTCTAGTTTAGGGAAAGTCCTGAGTCTCCCTTTGAGCAAAATCTGTAGTCTACAGGACTGGGTCAGGGCAGGTGTCTCTTTTGGTTTTGATGGTTCCCATGCTTATAGGTCCATGAGCTCAATCCATTTCTTCTGCCTGTCACATCTGCAATCCAAGAAGCGTACCTGATACATCCACTAATGCACTAACGCCACACTTTCTTTAAACTGGAAAGTTTTGGTGGTTTGTTTATTCATTTGTACTAACACTTGAGCCCAGGGCCTTGAGCATACTAAGTAAGCTCACTAGCACCAGCTATACCCCCAGCCCAAAAAACTTACAGCCTTTAGCATCTGCATATGTTTACTGAGGATCATATGTTTATTGTGGATCATATACCCAAAAAACCTACAGCCTTTAACATCTTCATATGTTTATTGTGGATCATATAGAATAATTTTTAATACAAAACACTACATTCCTGATCACCAAAACAATGGTGGCCAGAAGAACTTCAATGAACTGATTTTAGATTCCACTCTTTCAAACATACACTAAGTAAAAAATTAAACACACATACTTAAGATTAGTCCTTCCAGCTTTACTACACAAACGTAAGAATGACAACTTTTAAATAAGATACTTAAGTGTTAAGAGACAAAGAGGAATCCTATGAGCCTATAAATACATTGGCCAGTTTGTAGTCAATCACACAAAACGACCATCTAAGGAAAACCGAGCAGGATATAGTTTGTGCTTTCAACTATGAAGAATCAAACTGCATTCACCTTATGAAGAACAGGCTACTCTCCAAAATAGCCTAAGCATTGTTGTAATAGTCTAGCTCCCCACCAAAAAATGGGGGGGCTGAGTTAAAGTCCACTATAATAACCTATCTGAGTTAAAGTCTATTATTATAACCTTCCTAAGAAACTTTGAAAAATTATCCATGGAGCAAAGTATTTATGTGAGTTCCAAGGCTTTATCTTAGGATAAAAAAAATAACACGGGTCTTTAACCTTAAAAGAACTGTGAGACAGGCTGGGAAGTTGGCTCAGTGGTAGAGTGCTTGCCTTGCATAAATGAGGCCCTGAGTTCGATTCCTCAATACCACATAAGCAGAAAAAAGCCAGAAGTGGTGCTGTGGTTCAAGTGGTAGAATGCTAGCCTTGAGCTGAAGAGCTGAGCGCAGCACCCAGGCTCAGAGTTCAAGCCCCACGACTGAAAAAAAAGAACTTTTCAGTTACCATCAATCAAGGCTTTTATTTAGAAATGTCTTTTAAATATCAAACTTCTCTTCACAGATGCTATGTCCATTTTCTTCATAATCTTCTCTTGTTACCACCATATCTTCAAAATCATCATTCTCTGATATCAATTTTCCACCTTCCCAGGAGTAAGTAATAGGGCTAAAAATAAGGTAAAATGAAGGACAAATTATTTTACATACATGAAGAACAAATGAAATGCCTGAAGCTGAAGTTAAAAAGTTGCAAATTCAACCCAATTTGAAGGAATATTGGAGAAGAGATAGAAATAAGAGTTTCACACAAGTAAACTCGAAAGGAATCTTAGTCACCACTACAAAAAAGTGAGGGATATGGGCGGGGGGAGGGTTCCCCTCTAGTCTCCCAATTCATAGATGCTCTATTTCTAATATAAAAAACAAGAATGCAAGACCAAGATGCCTAAAAGCAGGATCATAATTGAGCTTAACTTGTGTTGGTGGCAGATTCATCATCCAATTCTCTCAGCAAACCATAAAAGTTATTACACCTCTGATAGTTATCATACCTCCCATAGTTATTACACGTCCAATTTTATATATAGGAGAATGATGTTGAGAGAGGTTAAGTCTGGAACTAGGACTCAGCTCAGAACTGTGTTCACAGTCTGTGCTTTCCCTGCTACATTTGACTGCCTCTAATAAATGAAATACTTCAAAAATAACTCATGATAACCACATGGAAGGATATAGACAATAAATAAGACTAGATCAGCTACAGTATTTACTTTGGTTTAGCTATCTACAACCAAAGCTATACTTTCTTATAATGCAATTGTATTTCTATTGTTCCTCTTCCCCAACAGTTTCAAATCTGAAAAGGTAAAGAAAACAGTTTAAATGTTTTCTTTATATTTAATTCATTGCCTAACCTTTTATGAAATAGCTTCATTTATAACTTTATATATATTCTTTTTTCTGAGAGGAAAAAAACAACAGAAATATTAGAGCAATGGATTTGCCATCAATACATTGAATATTAAAGCTATTTCAGTGAATCCTTTGGCTGGTGATATGTATCTGGAAGACAAAAACCCAATATGCTTCCTATCTAAAGAGAGCATATGAACATTACTGCCTTTTTTTTTTTTTGGACGGTCATGGGGCTTGAACTCTGGGCTTGGGCGCTGTCCTTGTGCTCTTCAGCTCAAGGCGAGCACTCTACCACTTGAGCCACTTCTGGTTTTCTAGTGCTTTATTGGAGATAAGAGTCACATGGACTTTCGTGCCCGGGCTGACTTTGAACCGTGATCCTCATATCTCAGCCTCCTGAGTAGCTAGAATGACAGGCGTGAGCCACCAGTCCCCGGCTTTGAACATTACTAATTTAAAAAAAATTATTTCTGCCAGGTGCTGGTGGCTCACGCCTGCAATTGTAGCTACTCAGAAGGCTGAGATCTGAGGATCGTGGTTCAAAGCCAGCCCAGGCAGGAAAAGTCCATGAGACTCTTAGCTCCAATTATCCACCAAAAAACCAGAAGTGGCACTGTGGCTCAAAGTGGAGAGCAATAGCCTTGAGCAAAAAGAGCTCAGTGCCCAGGCCCTGAATTCAAGGCCCATGACTGACCAAAAAATAAAAATCATTCTTATATTTAAAATTCTGCTTTAGCTCTCTTTGCTTTCCAGCAGCCATGAGTTGTCAACTGTATCTCCATGCCACCATGGACTGAAACTATGAGCTAATACAAGTGTTCACTCTTAAAAAGAAAGGAAGGAAGGGAGGGAGGGAGAGAAGGAAGGAATGATTCTACTTTAAGTGTATAATTCTATAATTAACTAGAGTTAGATATATGGGGTTTTGTTTGCAATTCTGACATGACTGCCAGGATTTTATTATTTAGACATATCTTTTGGTAAGAACTCTTCACTCAAGGTAAAAGAACTGGGTTTTAATCTGGTCATTGCTGTTAACTCACTGCAATGAATGACACCTTATTTACAATGCAAAAGCACTTTTGGATGACCTGTAAGTCCTTACAACTCTAAAATCCAACTTAATCTTTTTATTTGCTTCTAACATGACAATGATAGTATCTTTGTTTTTCTCATAAATTGGATAGAAGGTAGATGAAAGTTTTATAACAGTGGGGAATGAACCTATGGCTTTCTGCATCCTAGGCAAGTGCTCTACTGCCTGACCATGCCCACAAGCCCAATATAAAATAGTTCTGAATTTTAAAAAAGGTCATTAGGTGGGTGCTGGTGGCTCACATCTGTAATCCTAACTACTCAGGAGACTGAGATCTGAGGATCACAGTTCAAAGCCAGCCTGGGTAACAAAGTCCATGAGACTTTTATTTATTTATTTATTTATTTATTGCCAGTTGTGGGGCCTGAACTCTGGGCCTGGGCACTGTCCCTCAGCTCTTCAGCTCAAGGCTAGCACTCTACCACTTGAGCCACAGAGCCACTTCCAACTTTTTCTGCTTTCTGTGGTGCTGAGGAATCGAACCCAGGGCCTCATGCATGCAAGGCAAGCACTCTACCACTGAGCCATCTTCTCAGCCTTGTCTATGAGACTCTTATCTCCAATTAACTACCAGAAAACCAGATGTTGTGCTGTGGCTCAAGTGGTAGAACACTAGCCTTGAGCTGAAGAACTGGGGGACAGCGCCCAGGCCCAGAGCTCAAGCCACATGACCAACAAAAAAAAAACAAAAAACAGGACTCTAACCATTCATACAATGAGACCAAAGGAGGATATCCTTAGGAGAAGATCACAAGGGCTCAATAGCTATGTGCTTATCATCATATAAAATTAAACACTGAAGTGAACTCCAAGAAATGGAAACAAAAGGTCTTTTTTTTTTGTGGGTTTTCTATTTTTTTTTCTGTCTTTCCCCTTCTGTTGCTGTTTTTATTGTTGTACCTTTTGTCTTGTAAGTACACTTGATTTGGGGAGAAGGAGAAGCACAGAAATGGTGAGACAAAGGGTGAACGAATTCAGCAGTGCTATTCATTAGACACCATGTTGGAAGTGAACTATACAACCTGGGGGGTCGGGAGCAAAGAAACGGGGAGAAAATGAGGGAGAGGGTGACACTGTCCAGAAAGAAATGTACTCAATACCTGACTTACGTAACTGTAACTCCTCTGCACATCACCTTTACAATAATTTTTTTTTTTTTTTGGGTCCGGTCATGGGGCCTGAACTCTGAGCCTGGGCGCTGTCCCTCAGCTCTTCAGCTCAAGGCTAGCGCTCTACCACTTGAGCCACAGCACCACTTCTGGCTTTTTTCTTTTTGCTTATGTGGTGCTGAGGAATGGAACCCAGGGCCTCTGGCATGCAAGGCATGCGCTCTACCACTGAGCCACCTTCCTAGCCCTACAATAATTTTTTTACATCTCTTAGAAACAAGGACTGATTTACTACAGGGAACTAATCTTATGTTAATTGATTACTCATTATATACCAAATATTGTTGCTGGTACTTCACATTTCATCCTATATTAACTCATGGAACATAAGGTTCATCATTTGCTTTAAACCAGCAGGCTTTAACTCAAGTTTTTCTACAGGCTACTGTATTTATAAGATAGCTTCCATGATTTTCTCCCATATAAACCAACACTTACTTTTCAGGCAGCACTACAGAAACATCATAGTCTGTTGGAGTGAGACATCGAACTTCTGAGTAAACCCGATCTCTAAATCCTGGGAAAAGGGAATTTCCTCCCGTCAAAACAATGTTCTTAAAAAAATGTGGCTGCATTTCTTTAAGAGAAAAAAGGAGAAAAAGGAAAAAGGGATTAGAAAAAAAATTATCTTTCTCAAAAGACTTTCTGGTTAAAGGTTTAGAGAACATCATTACTGGTGGGAAGTCATACAATTAAGACGTAATGAAGTTACTTATACTTAGATATTAAGTACAATAAAACATGAACTTACAGATCTTTGGAAGAAAAAACTAAGGTAAGTAAACTACTAGCTACTTATTATATGCACATATAAGCTACAAATAAATGAGAAACATTCAACAGCAGATATTTCAGTTATTTATAATCCATCTTCCCTAGAATAGAGTAGTTTTATTATAGCTGAGACTATATACTGTAAAAATTAAAAAGGTCTTTATTTGGTGGTACTGGAGTTTGGATTCAAAGCTGTGTGTGTGGCAAGCAGTGTCTACTACATAAAATATGCTCCCAACTCTTTTTGCCTTTATTATTTTTCCAATAGGGTCTCATTTTAACGCTGGCCTGGACCATGGTCTTATTTTTGCTTCCTGCACAACTGGGATGACAGGCATGCACTACCATGCCTAGCTTTTTCAATTGGCTGAGATGGGGTGTTATGAACTCTACCCAAGGTGGCCAGGAACCTTGATCCTCCAGAATAGATTTTCATAGCATTTTAAACATGCCAGTCCAAACTCTGTTACCTTCCTAAAACAGATAAATTCATTGCAAATAATTACCATAAAGGAAAGCACAAAAACAATCATCATCACTAATAACCTTTAAAGAAAGCATGTTGCAAATAATTATTAAAGTTACATGACAGCAAACGTTAAGAAACATAAAGCTAACCAGTACTGAAAGTCTATAGAACAACTGGGAACTGTGGCTGATGCCTATAGTTCTAGCTATTTAGGAGGCTGAGATCTGAGGATCACAGTTAGAAGCCAGTCCAAGCATGAAAGTCTAGGGGATTCTAATCTCCAATAAAACAGGAAAAAGCCAAAAGTAGAGCTGTGGCTCAAGTGGTACAGTGCTAATCTTGAGCAAAAAAAGCTTAGGGACAGCACCCAGGCCCTACAGTCAAACCCTAGTACAAGCACACACATGCAGAATCGACAGAGCACCACAGGAGACCACCAGAACTTCAAAAGTACTGGCCAGCCCACCTCATACTTCTGTTCAAAATAGTTTCCTTTTATCAGCATTGACTCTGAAACATAACATTAAACCAGTGTAGGATAAAATGTTGGGTATATCATGCTGTAACTTTATGTCAAATGTGAAATTAATATGAAAATATTTGTAAAATGTTAATAGCATTATGTGACTTGATTTTTTTTATTCTTATTGGTTGTTTTAATGAAAGGAAAGCACATTGGATATGTTAGATTTCTTAAGTTATTTCATACAAACTAGAAAGAGAACATAAAAAAAGTACTCTAAAAGCCCTAGGACATTATTTATTTAAATTGTGCTTCAAGATAACTCAGAAGTGGTCACTTCAAGCACCATACTCAAGTCTTATGTAGTTAGTTTTGTATGCTGTCCCAAATACAACCACAAGGCGAAATCAGTCCCATCAATTGCTGAGAAACATTAAATTGTTAAACTATAAATTTCTACTTTGGGTTAAAAGTTTTTGCTGAGTCTTGTGGTATACATCTGTAATTCTAGCTGGCAGTTGAGGCAGGAGGATCATGAGTTCAAGGCCAGCCTGGACTGCACACAAAGACACTGCCTCAAAAGGCACATGGTAGAAATTATGTGTGTGCGTGCGCACGCGCGCTTGTGTGTGTGTATGTGTGTGTGTGTGTGTGTGTGTAGGATATATGTGTATATATACCTATATATATATGCCTGTAATCCTAGTACTCCTAAGATACAGAGATGGAGGACTGAGGCAAAACCCAGTCAGAAAAGCCTGAAAAAAATGTATATATACATACTGTATATATATGTATATACTGTATATATAATCCTAGCTACTTAGGAAGCTGAAAGTTGAGAACTGAAGTTCAAAGCCAGCCTGCACAGATATATCCATGAGATAGACTGTCATCTCCAACTAACCAGCAAAAAGCCAGAACTAAAGGCATGGTTCAAATGACAGAGCACCAGCTATGAGTGATAAAGGGCCCTGAGTTCAAGCCCCAATACAAGCAAAGAAAAAAAAAGGCCCTGTCTCAAACAACTAACTCTTAAACTGAATATAATCCAAGATATATTTCTTTATGTTTAAACAAACCATGAAGAGATTTTCAAAATATAGGACAAAACATGAGATTTGGAAATCTACTGTTATCTGCTATTTCCTGCAATGGTTTTAGAAGAAATAGTGTTCGTAGGATTTTAGTTTTTAAAAATTATTCTTCAATATTTTACTCTAATTACTGAGGTACCTTCCGGTAAGTTTTGAATTGAATAGACGATAGCTTCTGGAATTCCCATTTCTTGAATGCCAATATCAGAAGGATTAAATAGTATTTCTGGAACAGCAAATCTCTCATTGGCCAGACGAAGAATCTGTTCCCCAGACTTGTATTTTCCACTCAACACCATCTCTTCCCTTGGCTTAAAGAAAAAAGGTTTAAGCTACATGTTCACATAACTAACAATTACTATCAGTACATAATTAATACTAATAACCATTTTCTTTTCTTTTCTTTTTTTGGCAGTCGTGGGGCTTGAACTCAGGGCCTGGAAGCTTTCTCAAGTCTTTTGCTCAAGGCTAGTGCTCTACAACTTTGAGCCACAGCTCCACTTCCTGTACCATTTTCTTGGAAATCTCAGGATTCCCAAAGGTAGAAAAACACGGTCTCTCCCACTGCCAAAATCACTCAACTCTTACTTATGCTAATGTGAGTATCCCCCAAAAGATAATCTAGCAGCTTTAATTCCAAACTTTTTTTGCAGTCTTGGGGGCTGAACTCAGAACCTTGCGTTTATTAGGCAGGAGTTCTACCACCTGAGCCACCCATTTATCTTCTTTTTGAATAGGCTGTTTTCCAGACAGGCTACACTGGACTGTAAGCCTCCCATTGGTGCTTCTCTTACACATAGCTTAGATAACAGTCATGTTACAGTTCCAAGCCAGTATGGACAAAAATAGGAAATTCACAGTCCAAGTTAGCTGAGGCATAAAGATAAACTGTATTATATAGTATATATAACATATAAAAAGATAAGTTATTAAGAGTAATGTAAGACAGGTACTAGTAGCTCATCAGAAGCTGAGATTTCAGGATTGAGATTTGAAGCCAGCCTAATTAAGTAGATAAACCCAAGAGACTAATTAACCACTAAAAAGCTAGAAGTGATGCTGTGGCTAAAGTGGTAGAATACTAGCCCTGTGCAAAAAAGCACACACACACACACACACACACACAAATAAATAGAGTAATATATAAGACCCAGCACTGGTGACTCATGCCTGTAATCCTAGTACTCAGGAGGCTGAGATACAGAGATGGAGGATTGAGGCAAGCCCCATCAGAAAAGCACATTAACCTCCATCAATGAAATAATCAGCAAAAAGCAGGGCTAAAGGCATGGCTCAAGGGATAGAATGCCAGCCTATCAAACCTAAGGCCCTGCATTGAACCTAAGTACTGCCAACAAATAAATAAATAAAAAAGATTAAGGTATATGAAGGATATTATTGGGCCCTTAACATAGTTACCCATTCTTGTTTGGATTTCAGCTTCATCAGACTTTTTTCCCCTGAATCCCAAATACAAACCCTCATATCTCTGCTATCACCCTATACTGTTCTCCACAACCTATGTTATTCTCCATCAAAGTATGAGGTATACAAGCATGTATTCAACAAATTCTTGAATGGCACACAACCAATGTGTATTAGGAATGTTACAAACATTGGGCTACTGAATTCTCACATGGTCCTGTAAAATGGGCCCATTTTCCTTTCCTTAATGACTTCACTGGGCTCACCAAGGTAATCCATATAGTCACCCAATATACACAGGAAATATCCCTCCCCTTATAGTGTCATTCTAAACTTCAGATTGAATGATTCAGATTTCTATAATGTGGAAAGTTTGTGTTCATAACATTATTCTTATTTTTTTTTCTGGAAAGCTGGGTGCTGGTGGCTCACACCTGTAATCCTAGGTAATCAGGAGGCTGAGATCTGAGGATTGTGGTTTGAAGCCAGCCTGGACAGAAAAGTCCCCATGAGACTCTTGCCTCCAATCAATTCTCAAAAACCGGAAGTGTTGCTGTGGCTCAAGGTGGTAGAGCACTAGCTTTGAGCAAAAAGAGCTCAGAGACAGCACCCAGGCCCAGAGTTCAAGCACTATGACCCACAAAACAAAAGAAACTCAGGGACAGAACCTAGGCCCTGGTTCAAGCCCCAGGACTGGCACCAAAAAAATTTCTTGGAGCCAGGCACTGGTGGCTCACAACTATAATCCTACCTACTCAAAGGCTGAGATCTGAGTATCAAGGTTTCAAGCAAGCCTTGGCAGGAAGTATGAGTCTGTGAACTTATCTCCAATTAACCACCAAAAATGGTTTAAGTGGAACTGTGGCTCAAGTGGTAGAGCAATAGCTCACAGACAGTGCCCAGACCCTTCTTGAGTTCAAGTCCTAGGACTGGCACACACAAATAAAGAATTCCTGGAAATTTCACAATATTCTAGGAAGAATAAGGTATACTATAAATTTCTTTTAGTCCAATTAAACTATTACTATAGTAACACAAAGATTATATATATATATATATATATATATATATATATATATATATTTTTTTTTTTTTTTTTTTTTTTTTTTTTTGTCAGCTGTGGGTCTTGAACTCTGGGCCTGGGTGCTGTCCCTGAGCTCTTCAGCTCAAGGCAAGCACTCTACCACTTGAGCCACTGCGCCACTTCCAGTTTTCTGGTGGTTAGTTGGAGATAAGAGTCTCAAAGACATTGCTGCTTGGGCCAGCTTTGAACCTCGATCAAGAATATTATTCTTCACAAAGAGTGTAGTCTTCCTTCTTATGAAGGATATTTCCTATAAATATACAAATGCATAAAGGATATAACTTATTTTGTTAATACTGAAAAACAACATGAGACATATACAAACTTGGGGAATTTCTGTTGATAAAACACAAGCTTAGCCAGGCACTGGTGGCTGTAATCGTAGCTACTCAGGAGGCTGAGACCTGAGGATCTCAGTTCAAAGCCAACCCAGGCAGGAAAGTCTGTAAGACTTTTTTTTTTTTTTTTCAGTTGTGGGGCCTGGACCCTGGGACTGGGCACTGTCCTTTAGCTCTTCAGCTCAAGGCTAGTACTCTACCAATTGAGCCAAAGTGCCACTTCCGACTTTTTCTGCTTATGTGGTGCCAGGGCCTCATGCATGCAAGGCAAACACTCTACCACTGCTTCCCACCTTCCCAGCTCCATGAGACTCTTATCTCCAATAAACCACCAGAAAACCAGAAGTGGTTCTGTGGCTCAAGTGGTAGAGCATTAGCCTTGAGCTGAAGAACTCAGGGACAGCACCCAGGCCTAGAGTCCAAGCCCCAGCACTAACAAAAAAAACAAACAAACATACAAACAAAAAACCACTAGCTTATCTATAGCCCTGATTTACAAAGAGGGATCAAATATCTAATGAGTGAAGAGGTAGCACTAGATGTCCTTTTTAAAGGGCAGCATTGAAGCCATTAAGTGTTAATGTGTAACCTGGTATATAACAGGTAGGGTTTTGTTGAAAGACTTTTTTGCTTTGTGTTTTGAGACAGGGGCTTGCTATGTAGACTTCAACAGCCTCAAATTTATGATTCACCTGCTTCTGTCTCCCATATGCTGGGATTACAGGCTTGTACCACCATACCCAGGTATGTATTGTTTTTAAAAGTATAATCCCAAAAAGTTCTTTTGCTCTTTTACAGACATGGACAAAGGAATTTGTAAGGGCTGTTAAAGTTATTTTAGTTGATGTAGTCTGTAGCTACTGAATAGTCTTCATCAATCTACTTTTAGTACCACTAAAGAAATGACCAATTGGGGCTGGGAAAGTGGCTCAGTGGTAGAGCGCTTGCCTTGCATGCCTGAGGCCCTGGGTTCGATTCCTCAGCACCACATAAGCAAAAAGAAAAAAGCCGGAAGTGGCGCTGTGGCTCAAGTGGTAGAGCGCTAACCTTGAGCTGAAGAGCTGAGGGACAGCACCCAGGCCCAGAGTTTAGGCCCCACAACTGGACCCAAAAAAAAAAAAAAAAAAAAACCAGTTGTTGTAACATTTCTGCAGTGATAATAATCATTAATGATTACTGTAATATTCTCAATTTAGGTCAGACAAATTTTGTAGACATCAGCTTTCTGATAAGACATTATCATGGAATTTCTTTTTTTTTTTTTTTTTGTCGGTCATGGGGCCTGAACTCTGGGCCTGGGCGCTGTCCCTCAGCTCTTCAGCTCAAGCCAAGCGCTCTACCACTTAAGCTACAGCGCCACTTCCGGTTTTCTGGTGGTTTATTGGAGATAAGAGTTTCACGGACTTTCCTGCCCCGGCTGGCTGGCTTAGAACCACGATCCTCAGATCTCAGCCTCCTGAGTAACTAGGATTACAGGTGTGAGCCACCGGCACCCGGCATCAGTTATAATCTACAACGATATTATAGACCTTATTATTTTATTGCTATTGTTCTTACTATTGCCAATAAAAAATCAAGGCTGCAAAGTTTCCCCAAAATTAATATATCTTATAATATATAACGTACATTTATATGTGTATATATGTACACATTATATAAAGTACATATAATGCATATCTATACACCAGTCTATGTGTGACATGTGGATAGACACAGACATGTGTGTCTACTTGCCTTGTGCATTCATTTTTTTGGCAGAACTGGGGATTGAACTCAAACCCTCTCCCATGACAGAAGACTATCACATGAGACATACCTCAGATCTTCTATTCTTTGTTTGTTTGTTTGTTTGTTTTTGTCAGTCGTGGGCGCTGTCCCTGCGCTCTTCAGCTCAAGGTGAGTGCTCTACCGCATAAGCCACAGCGCCACTTCTGGTTTCCTAGCGGTTTATTGGAGATAAGGGTCTCTCGGACTTTTCCTGACCGATCTGGCTTTGAACCAGGATCTTAAGATCTCAGCCTCCCAAGTAGCTAGGATTACAGGCATGAGCCACCAGCGCCCGGCAGATCTTCTGTTTTATATTTTGTTTTGTGACAGCACCTTTCTAACTTTGCCCATGCTTGGCTCTAACTCATGACCTTTCTGCCTCTACTTTCTGAGTCACTAAGAAGTATACCAATTTGAATAGCTAAAAATATTTGAGTAAATAATCAAAATCTGAATTCTAACAATAACCTAAATATAAAGCCTCTCAAATATTTTTTCAGGTTATATAATATTGTTTTTCTAAATTCATACTTAGCTCTTGTTGAAGTTACTGAATAACACCTAACAATGCACATAGTGAAGTACTAAACTCAAAAAACACATTTTAGAATTAGTCTTCCAAATGCAAAATGCTAACTTTCATACATGAGTTCAAACATGGACTGTGAATGAAGTATAAATCTTAAATTAACTCATGAACATTAAGCCACTGTCTTGTTATTTTTGCAGTTACTTGGGTTTGAACAGACATACTAAGTATAATTACATAAAACACAAGTATCTATCAGCTTAATACACTTTAAAAAAACAAGATTCCCTTTCTTCATTTAGTGTTACCATTTATAAGTCTTCCACTTTAATTTCATGAATGTATTCCTAATTAACATAATAATTCTTTATAGAATCAAAGTACCTATGGCTTCTAAATCATGTTTCTGGGATTTATCTATGTGGTCATGTACCTGTATTTCATTTTCACAATTATTTTCTTACATAAATGAATTTTTAAAAATTTCTTTCTATAACTGGATATGTAGACTGTTCTCAGATTTTTACCATTCTATGGTATAGTGTAATAAGTAGTATCATATGTCTCTTTATATTTCTTTTTGTTTGTTTGTTTCCCTGTCACTACAGTTTGAAGTCAGAGCCGGGGCACTGTAGCTTTTGTGCTCAAAGCTTGAGCTCTACCACTTGAGCCACAGCTCCAATTCCAGCATTCATTGGAGTTAAAAGTCTCATGAACTTTCCTGCCTGGTTGGCTTTGAACTATGATACTCAAATCTCAGCTTCCAGAGTAACTAGTGGCATGAGCCACTGGCATTCAACTCCCTTACATTTCTGATGAAACATTTTTTAACCTTCCAACAGTTTTCATCAAGGCAGTAAGTAGATGGCAAACTTTGTATTCATTAAACACAGACCTGTCTTTACCTGAGCTGGTCAAAGACAAAACAGAATTACTTAATTTTGAAATACAAGAGAAGCTGTTTCTCAACACTGAGTGCATTAGATTTTGCCCTTTACAATTGACATGCTCATTCCATCAGGCTAAACATGACTAACATTCAGTCCTGGGTCAGCTTTGTCAACCATTTTCACAACAGGAAAAACACCTGGATTTAAAATAATTCTTAAGTAAACAGAAAAGGCTGAGTCATGATATAGGTAACAATCTTATTTATCTCCAATATTTATCTCATGTGCTGTGATTTGGCTAATAGTTCTTTGTCTAAATAAATTTAGTAAGAAACCTATTAGTCAAACTTACATACTTTTATCTTGTGAAATGGCCACCAGGAAGGCAGTCAATCACAATTGGGTTAGGCCTGTCAACTCCAGCTAGATGACAAATGCTTTTCAATTCTGATTGAGGTAGTCACTTAAAGAGGTTTTTCAAAAATTACCTTACAGAAGCCCTTTTTAATTGTACTGAAATCAGGTAAAACATAGTCTATCATTACTGTATTATCTTCTCCTTTTAACCTATAAGACAAAAAAAAAAATTTATAAACTATTTCAATTATATGCAATATCACCCAAAGTCAATATTACAATTATACATACTTTGCGATATCCATGTCTCTGTAAAAATCCTGAGACACATAGCATACATCTTCTTTCACCTGATTAATCACATGTGTTTCATCCATAACATGTAACTGCCTACAGGAAATAGAAATTATAAAATATGAAATGGAAAAAATTTGAATATAACTTATAATGGTCATTTAAAATATTTTCTTGGAATTATATTTCCAAGTAACTGGTTTTTGAAATATTACATTCTTGAATGTGTAACATACTTTTTTTTTTTGGTCATGGGACTTGAACTCTGAGCCTGGGTGCTGTCCTCGCACTCTTCAGCTCAAGTCGAGCGCTCTACCGCTTGAGCCACAGCACTACTTCTGGTTTTCTAGTGGTTTATTGGAGATAAGAGTCGCACGGACTTTCCTGCCTGGGCTAGCTTTGAACCGAGATCCTCAGATCTCAGCCTCCTGAGTAGCTAGGATGACAGGCGTGAGCCACCGGCGCCCAGCTGTAAAAATACATTTAATTGTATTTTATTTTGTCTCTTCCTTTTTGTTAGTGGGGATCAAACCCAGGACACTACTTGCTAAACAAGTGCTTCACCATTGTGCTACATTCCATACCTAAAATACTCTTAATTTTATAAAAATACTCTAGTGTATACTTAATCTGCACATTATTCCTTGAAAGGAAGTTATTAGTTTATTTTTAGATAAAGAAATTGGAAATAAACCCAAGCACTGGTGGATCACATGTGTAATTCTAGCTACTCAGGAACCTGAGATCTGAGGATCACTGTTCAAAGCCAGCCCACGTAGGAAAGTCCATGAGACTCTTATCTCCAATTAAACACCAGAAAACTGGAAGTGGTGCTATGGCTTAAAGTGGTAGAGTGCTAACCTTGAGCGAAAAAAGCTCAGGGACATTTTGCAAGCCCTGAGTTCAAGCCCCATGACCAACAGCAACAACACAAATTTCAAGAACACCTATCTAGTGAGTACTAGATTTTAGGAAAGGTTTGGGATAAAGGACAGTTAGTCTTGTCTTGGGGGTGCAGCTGAATAAGAGGAACAGTTTGTTTGGATTTCTGTTTTGCTTTTTGTTTTGTTATCTTTGTTTTTGATATGTAAAGTTCATTCTCAACCCCCTACGCTTACAAAGAATCAAAGCCAAGGAATACCTGTAAGATATGATCTCCTTCAGATGGTTGGTTAAGAGTTTACCTCCCACATTTATCCTATAAGGGGAGAATTCAATCTTAGTTCAGTTTTCACACAATTCACCCTAAGAAATTATATGAATTAAGAAATAATATGAAAATTAAATGCAACTCACCGAATAATTGCTTCTTTTTTCTTTTTACTTCTACAGTAAGGAACTATATGTGTAAAGGAATACCCACTGTCTACAATGATGCAACATAATTCTGAAGGATTATCTCGGAAATATCGATGTGCGCTGAGAGCCCCAGCTATTAAGAATTACAAACATTTTAAAAATATTAGCAACATTAAGTAAATGTATACCACTAACTTATAGACAAGCAGCAAACTAAGGCAAGCGCAAAAACAAAACAAAAAGTTATGTTCACAAATCTCACAAGATCTCTATAAGTTTAAAAAAATTAAGTCACATTTATCTGGTAAACATAAAAAATTGTGATCAGTTTTTTTAAATGTAAATTTTTTAGCATAATGCAGTTGTTAATTACTGAGCATTTACATGCCAGACTCTATTCTACACTCTAGATAAGCCAGGCACTAGAGGCTTACACCTTGAATACTAGATACTCAGGAGGCTGAGATATGAGGACTGAAGTTTTAAGACAGCCTGAGCAGACAAAGCTAAGAGACTCTTACTTTCAGCTAACCATCAAAAAGCCAGTAGAGGTATGGCTCAAGTGGTAGAGTGCTAGACATGAAGGAAAAAGCTGAGAGGACAAGAACCTAAGTTCAAGCCCCAGTACACACACACACACACACACACACACACACACACACACACACACACACACACACACACACACAAACTCTATACAGTTGATGCGTTCTAAAACTTGTAATTGTGTATGTATATAAGCATATACATGTGGGGTTTGTTGTTTCTTTTTTTTTTTTTTGGGTCCGGTCGTGGGACCTGAACCCTGGGCCTGGGCGCTGTCCCTCAGCTCTTCAGCTCAAGGCTAGCGCTCTACCACTTGAGCCACAGCACCACTTCTGGCTTTTTTCTTTTAGCTTATGTGGTGCTGAGGAATCGAACCCAGGGCCTCATGCATACAAGGCAAGGACTCTACCGCTGAGCCACCTTCCCAGCCCCTGTTATGTTTGTTTCTGTGGGAAACTGCACCATGGGCAAGTAAAGGTAAATAATCAAAGCAGTATCTTTGGAGCAGGGTTTTTCCACCTTGGATCCACAAAACACTTTGGGTCAGCTAACTCCTTTATCATCTATAACCTGCATCTATTCAATACCAGTAGTACTCTACCAATTAGGTAATGTCTACAGCACCGTCAAACATTTCCTGGGACCAAAATCTCCACTGGCTGACAACACTTCTGGAGATTATCCTTTTAACTGTTTAAGTCTACATGACTTAAATTCTGTAAGCTAATTAAAGACTTTCAGTGTACCTGATCAGGTAATACAATAATTCCCTTTAATATACTTGCTTCTAGATATTAAGATTCTTTTCACTTACATTGGCAGACAAAAGTGGTTCACCTTATTTGAAATAATAATGGCACCAGGTGCCAGTGGCTCATGCCTATAATCCTAGCTACTCAGGAGACTGAGATCTCAGGATTGAGGTTCAAAGCCAACTGGGGCAGGAAAGTCCATAAGACTCTTATCTCCAACTAACCACCAGAAGACAGAAGTGGTACTGTGGCTCAAGTGATAGAGCACTAGCCTTGAGTGGAAGAGCAGAGGGACTGTGCCCGGGCCCAGAGTTGAAGCCCCACAATTGACAAAAAAAAAAAAAAGAAGGAAAAATGGCAAGCTTTTCATTAACAGAAAGATAACTAGTTTAGAAAAATCTTTCAGAGATTAGAAATATGTGGCTAGTAACTTCATTTGAGAGAAATATCAGTAAAAAAAAAAACTGATTAAGTCTGATTATATCATATCTAAGGATCTAGTTTTAAAATTCCATGTTTTGTAGTATGTGGGATTTCACGTTTCTTCACCCCATTCATATTAATATCCATATTCACAAAATTCAATTTCAATGAAAACTTTAATTCACCATTTACTCTTAATACTGCTTGGAATTGGTATTCTTCAAATAGAATTTCATTCATTGATTCTTGAATTGAAGTGAAGTTAAAATATGGTTCTGTGATAATAATATTCGTATCTAAAAAATCAACCTACAGGAGAAAAGAAAAACAAAAGTTTTCTAATTTGTAATTATATATGCATATATAATATATATCTCAACACAATATGTATATACATACGTGTATACTCACAAAATTACTTCTCACAACAATCCTACTGATTATTATTCTCATTAATATATGACCGAATTGAGGCATAGAAAAGTTGATTAAATTACGTACATCCTATAGCTACTTAGGGTAGACATAGGATTTGAACTCAAGAGTGTATACTACAAAATCTAATCACTCAACTAATAATGCAAACCTCTCTCTCTTAATGATAGCAGTAATAAATGGAACTGTCAAGTTGTTAAAGATTAATTATGCAAAAGTAACAAACTACAGTGTAGCCATTCTTATTTTGAACCCTGCTTCCAAGTGATAGTGAAAATCATCATGTCCACATAACTAGTCCTGATACTTTCCACCAGCTGAGCCAGAGCTCCTTTGTCCTCCAAGATAACTTGTGTGAAAGATGGTGGTATAAGTCTGCCTTTGAAAGAGACTCTTCACCAGCAGTCCTCCTATACTACCTGCACCAGACTCATTTTGTGGGGACATTCTCTTTGCAAGCAGCCGTCTTCTTGGCCCAGGCCAGTACGTCTGCTTTGTTTCTGATTTAGAGGACAGCTTAAGAAGTCAAGTAGTAGTGGGCAGTCCAAAGCATAGGTAAACTGGTTCATCATAAGACACACTTTCAGGCACTAACTGAGGAGAGCCTTCTGTCACTGTAATAGGGCCATTTGACAAGTAGCTGAGGTCTCTTTTGGGTTTAAATGTCCTTGCCCAAAGCCTAACTTAATAGACCCTTTCTCAAACAGGAGATTATCATGTTGTTGGCCTACTTCATGACAGCATTTGGGGCTACCTTCTGTTCCTTGAGCTTTTCTAAGCAATTTGTATAGCTGGAGAATAGCACTCTCCACATTCTTGAAATGTATTAAAATTTGAAAATTCTTTCAGTGTAAATCTAGACACACTATAGAAACTAAAAGCAAAAAATTTTCTACAACATCTACATATTCGAGTATGTGAGCCAAACTATTTTACTCTGAAAATTAAATGATATAGTAAACCTGTCTAATAATAATTTAGGGATGTAGCTCAGAGGTAGAGTTCTTGCCTAGTATGTAGAAGGCCCTGAGTTTGAACCTTAGCACCTAACAGAGGGACTGGAGTAGAAATCTGAACTAAAATTGCAGTACAGACTATTCCCTACTCAACCTATAGTTTTTGTTTTGCCAGTCCTAGGGCTTGAACTCCGGGCCTGAGCACTGTCCTTGAGCTTTTGTGCTCAAGACTAGGGCTCTACCATTTGAGCCACAGCTCTACTTCTGGCTTTTTGTGATTAGTTGGAGATAAGTTCCACAGACTTTTCTGCCCAGGCTAGCTTTGAACCGTGATCCTCAGATCTCAGCCTCGTATATTCAACTTAATGTCTAACATGGAAATTTTTTTCATTTTCATTTATTATTTAGAATATCAAGCCTAGGCAAAACTATATTTGTGACTTAAAATATGTACTGATAATGTTGATAGTTTTATAACTCTAAAAGTATAAATTCCAATATTTCATTTGAATTACACAGAAATAGACACCTTTGAATACATACTCTTAATTTCTTACCTGATACATTTCTTTTCCAAAAAGGTAATCCCATACTTGTCGCTGAACATCCCAATTCACCAAATAGCCCTAAAATTTGATAAGTAAACATATTCATCATAATTATTTGAAAAGTTTTTAACAATCAAAAATTTTTTTTTTTTTTTTTGTCAATCATAGGGCTTGAACTCTGGGCCTGGGTGCTGTTTCTGAGCTCTTCAGCTCAAGGTGAGGACTCTACCACTTGAGCCACTGCACCACTCCCAGTTTTCTGATGGTTTATTGGAGACAAGAGATCTCAGGGACTTTTCTGCCCAGACTGGCTTTGAACTGCGATCCTCAGATCTCAGCCTCTTGAGTAGCTAGGATTATAGGCGTGAGCCACCAGCATGGTCATTTATTTTTACATGACGATATAATTTCAATTTTAGGCTTTAGTTAGATATTAGTTAATTTTTAAGTCAATTATTTTTAGAGAGCTAAAAATATTTTCCTAATATGCAATATTAAAAAGTGTCTTCAAAGCTAGGAACCAGTAGCTGATACCTATAATCCTAGCTACTCAGGAGGCTGAGACTTGAGTATTACAGTTCAAAGTAAGATTGGGCAGAAAAGTCCATGTGACTTTTATCTCCAATTAACCACCAAAAAGCCTGAATTAAGCTGAAGCGCAAATGGTAGAGCACTAGCCTTGGGCAGAAAAGCTCAGGGACAGCACCTAGGCCCTGAGTTCATCTCAGGACTGGCACACACAGACACATACACAAATTGTCATCAAATCAGGTTTATAATGCTACATGATATATGTATTATGTATATATAATACCTTTTGAAAAGGAAGGATATAAAACAGTCCTGAGGGGTCTTTTATTTCATCTATCTGGTTAGCAGTAAAAGTTTTAAGACGTGCAGTTTTTGACCTGAACTGACAATTAGGAATAACCCTGGAAACAAAGAAACAAGACAATTATCACTTAAATATTTAGTTCTCAAAATTACCATCACTTAATCACTAATGCTAAAAGATTAGTATATACAAAACTAATTATTCTCATTTTGCCTTTAAATAAATAGAAAATGGGGCTGGGAAGGTGGCTCAGTGGTAGAGCGCTTGCCTTGCATGCCTGAGACCCTGGGTTCGATTCCTCAGCACCACATAAGCAAAAAGAAAAAAGCCGGAAGTGGTGCTGTGGCTCAAGTGGTAGAGCACTAGCCTTGCACTGAAGAGCTGAGGGACAGCACCCAGGCCCAGAGTTCAGACTTCAGGCCCCACGACCAGACCCAAAAAAAAAAAAAGAAAAAGAAAATATGTCTTTAATTGAACAGGTTCTATATTGGACTCTGTTTCTCTCAAATAATTTTTTTTTTTTGTTTTTGTCGGTCATGGGGCTTGAACTCTGGGACTGGGCATTGTCTCTCAGCTCTTCAGCTTAAGGTAAGCACTCTAACACTTGAGCCAAAGTGCCAATTCCAGTTTTCTGGTGGTCAATTAGAGATAAAGAGTCTCACAGACTTTTCTGTTGGGGCAGGTTTTGAACCGAGATTATCAGATCTCAGCCTCCTGAGTAGCTAGGATTATAGGCGTGAGCCACTGGCACCCAGCTCTCAAATAATTTTTAAGAAATCCTTAGAGGTGGGTACTAGTTTTGCAATTTCAGACTTAATGCCAGGTCCTAGTCTTAATGTGAAAATTCTTTGTGCCATTCTGATAAAAAAAATATCCACAAGTTCAAACTTCTGGCATAAAATTAAGTTGCATGAAGCCAAAGATTTTAAAGAACTAGAATGGCATTAGGATACAGGAAATCGAACTACTTTTTTTTTTTTTGGTCGGTTGTAGGGCTTGAACTCTGGGTGTGGGCACTATCCCTGCACTCTTCAGCTCAAGGCGAATGCTCTACTGCTTGAGCCACAGCACCACTTCCAGTTTTCTGGTGAATAACTGGAGATAAGAGTCTCAGGGACTTTTCTGCCTGGGCTGGCTTTGAACCGAGATCCTCAGATCTCAGCTTCCTCAGTAGCTAGGATTACAGGCATGAGCCACCAGCCCCTGGCTTGAACTACTTTTAAATATTGTTACCACCCACTATGAGTTTACAAGCTAGGTGGGAAGACAAATTAGAGCCATTATCATATGTTGGGATAACAAAAGTGTTTTTGTTTATTTCACTTACTATACTATTGAGTTTCTTTACATGTTTAAATATTCTTTGAGGACATAATTTGTACAAACTCCATAAGCAGGGACCTGCAATCAGCTTTTTGAGAAGCTAAGTCAGGAGGGCAGCATAGACAACAACAAAAAGAGCTGGAGGTGTAGCCGGGCAGTAGAACTCTACAAATTAAAGAAGCTACATGGTTGCCAATCTCAGTTTCACATTAATGTACTTAACCAATTTGCTACTGCTTATTATTTAGCTTGTATCCTTAAAAAAAACCTAATGTATAAATTGTCTACAAAAATCAGTTATTTATTCAAACACGGATGTTCTACTTCTTATGGAAACCACTGCAGTAGTTTCTGTTTAGTTAACCTCATCAACCAGATCAGTGATCAAATCCTAAAAAGTCTGTAAACCCTGAGACAATGGCTTTTAGACTATTGTGGATCACAGAACCTTTTGAAGATCCAGTGAGGGCTGGGAAGGTGGTTCAGTGGTAGAGTGCTTGCCTTGCATGCATGAGGCCCTGTGTTCGATTCTTCAGCACCACATAAGCAGAAAAAGCTGGAAGTGGCGCTGTGGCTCAAGTGGTAGAGTGCTAGCCTTGAGCTGAAGAGCTGAGGGGCAGTGCCCAGGCCCCACAACCGACCAAAAAAGATCCAATGAGACCTATAATCGCCTTGCAGAAAATGCTTAGACACCCAGAATAATGCCCACGTGTTCTGAAGGATCTTGAACTTTCTGCTTCCTGACAAAGGAGACCAGAAGCCTAATTGCGTATTTGTTTCTCGTTACGAAATAAAACATAGATCTCACTTGCAAAGCCGCGCAGCCTCGGAAACTAAAAAGCACCATCCATTCTAGCTCAAGCATGACAACCGACTACGCAGCTCCAACCCGAGCGTCCCACCAGCCCGGCTGGGGGCCACACGGGGGCGTTTGCAACACACGGAAGTCCGTAGACAAAGCGTAGCCCCTGGCATACAACGCCTTGTCCTTCCGAGAAGGTTAACACTTACGACACATTTTCATGGCTGTAACCGATTTTGGCGTTGTAGGCTCCGTTATCCAACACTAAAGTCGTCATTTCGGTGCAATGGGATCAGTCTCTTTCCGACCTGTCTGCTCAATCCCTTTCCGGTACTCTATGGTTTCCCCCCACCCCCGGGGAGGCGGAGCTAGAGCGCGCGCTTCCGGTTACCATAGCAACAGAGGACGCCGGAAGCCGAGGCGGCAGAGTCTGGAAGGTTGTCAGCTGGGGTCTGCTGTTTCCAAGTCAAACCGTGTTTGGACGATGGAGAAAGACTCCAGAAGAGGAGAAACTGCTAAATACATTGTCTTCCCATTTCGTTTTCTTTGTTGTGCAGATTAGGCCAGCAAGTTCCTTCTCTCTGTGTGCGTCTTCGAAGTGTATCGTTCAAACAGTGATGTTTTTTGAAGAAATAAAGAGCAGAACCGTATGCAGCTTGGAATTGGATGTGAGATGTCTCCCACCTCGTTTTCTAACCTGCCCATCCAATTGTAAGATTCAGCCACCACGACTTGTATATGTGTTTTTCCATCGACCATTTTTCTGTGGGGGGCGGGAGGATGGACTGGAGATTCCTACATACTAGCAAGTGCTCTATGACTTGCACCATGCTTCGCAGTCCTTTGGGGCATATTTTCGTTTTCTTTGTATCAGTACTGGGCTTGAACTCACAGCTTCGCACTCTCACTTGCAGCTGGGGAACTGCTTTTCTTTTCCTTTCTTTTTTCTTTGTATCTGTAGCAGGGCTTGAACTCAAGGTCTTAAAATCTCACTTGGCTTCCCCCGCCCCCTTTCCCCCCCCCCCCCCCACCCCTTAACCAGTCTGGCATTGTGCTGGTTAAGTGGAAATGGAGTCTTGGAAACTCCACAGCTTCAAAGCTTGAAACTTTAAACCTCTAGGTCTCAGCCATTCCCCCCCCCCCCCACACACACACACACACACATACAGTAGCTAGTATCAGAAGCATGAACCAACACCTAGGCTGAGTTTCCTGTTTGCTTTTTTTTTTTTTTTTTTGTCGGTCATGGGACTTTAACTCTGAGCCTGGGTGCTGTCCCTCAACTCTTGAGCTCAAAGAGAGCACTCTACCACTTGAGCCACAGCGCCACTTCCGGTTTTCAGGTGGTTAATTGCAGATGAGTCTCATGGACTTTCCTGCCTGGGATGGCTTTGAACCACGATCTTCAGATCTCAGCCTCCTAAGTAGCTAGGATTACAGGCTTGAGCCACTGGCTACTGGTCTGTTTGCTTTTTAATTTACATTCACATTTCCCTTGCTTTATTCTTCAAGACTTAGTTTTCGTGTCTTATCTGAAGAAAGCTGCTCACATCAAACATGCTCCCTCTTAATTCTGATTCATGGCATTAGATGTTCTCTTTACTATTCCTTTCATATACCAGTTATTCATAATGGTAAGTGAATTTTGGATTGGAAGCCAGACTACCACAAAATTGCTGTGTAGCCTTTAGCAATGAAGATGAGAAAGATTAATACTATCATGGTATTTACCATGAGAGAGTAAGCTGTTCCAATAGCTTTACACACATTAATTTCATCATTCAATTCTGTGAGCTAAACAGTTGAGTGCAACCTCTAAATTTAAACATTTAAAGTGAAATTCTGTAGTATTTTCTCATTATTTTTATGTTTTTCTTTACTGTGAAGAATAATTTATGCCTCTGTTTTTTCTAATCTCTGTAGTGAATTGCCTGTGTATATGTCTTTGAATATTATTATTAAGTGATAGTTCTTGGAGAAAATAAAGTTCATAGTGCTAGAGGAGTATCAATACCAAATTTCAAATTCTACTACAAAGTCACAGTAACCAAAACAGCTTGGTGTACTGAACAGACCTGAGGACCAATGGAATAGAACTGAAAACCCAGAAATGAACCTACAGACCTACAGCCATGTAATCTTTGATAAGGGAGCTAAAAAAAAATGGAATAGAAGAAACACAGACTCTTCAGTATATGGGGCTGGCAAAATTAGTTAAACACCTGTAGAAAACTGAAGCTAGATCCTTATATATCACCCTACACCAGAATCAACTCCAAATGGATCAAAGACTTCAAAGTCAAAGCAGACACCCTGAAAACATTACAGGAAGGAATAGGAAAAACTCTCAGGCTCAACCTTTCTAGCCATAAAAGAAATGCAGATCCACCTCACCCCAGTTAGAATGGCTATAATCAAGAACTCTAATAACAACAGATGCTGGAGGGGATGTGGACAGAAGGGAAACTTATTGCATTGGTGGGAATGTAAACTTGTTCAACCACTTTGGAAAGCAGTATGGAAGTTCCTCAGAAGACTCCATATAGAGCTTCCCTATGACCCAGCAATCCCACTTCTGGGCATTTACCCGAATGATCACAAACAAGGCTACCAGTACAACTATGTTTATTGCAGCATTATTTACCATAGCTAAGATATGGAACCAACCCAGATGGTCCTCAGTAGATGAATGGATCAAGAAAATGTGATATATATGTATGTGTGTGTACATATATATACACATATATGTGTACATATATGCATATATAATGGAATTCTATGCCTTCATCAGAAAGAATGATAATGCCCATTTATTAGGAAATTGAAAGACTTGGAAAAAATTATAAAGTGAAGTAAGCCAGGCCCAAAGAAACATAGGTCCCATAGTTTTCCTTATTTGCAATAACTAGTACATGTGTAGGACAAGCAGAAAAGGTCAAAAGGTATGTACATATGACCATATAAGATGTTAAGCGAAATGAACCCCAAGATAGGGACACAAATATCTTTTTTCTTTCTTGCTATTGTTTCTAACGTAATTATAATGTACTATGTGATTTTTTTTGCATGTTCCTCCCCCAAGGTATAACCCCTGTTTTCACTGTATTTGATGTCAGTGCCCTGCATCTTGTATATACACTTCTCTAATTCGGGGAGAGGCATGGAAAAAACAAAATGCTTAATAAGGATATAGGTTGACCCATTTTAATGATGATATGTACAAAACACTATGTTGAAAACTAACTTTACAACTTTGGCGGGGGTGGGGGGCGAGGGAGGGGGGTTAGGGGGGCGGGGGGGAAGTTGTGGAAGTGAGAAGGAAGAGATGGTAGGGGAAAAACAAAGGAGGGGACAACAATGCTTGGTAAGAAATGTACTCATTACCTTGCTCATGTAACTGTAACCCCTCTGTTCAGTATTCTTATAATAAAAAATGTACAAAAAATAAAGTTCATGTTCATTTATTAGATGGCTTATATAAGTAGTTAACCACTGTGTCCTATGTTACCTCAAAAGTAAAATGGAATAAACTTAATCATATTCCCTTGCAGAATTTTTTATTAGATGGGATAAAGGAGGAAAGGAGAATGACAGAGGGGTTGAGATTTATTGAACACATTATAAACATGGAAATGTAACAAAATCTATCTCCCTTTGTATAACTAATAAACGAATACAATTTTAGCAATTAAAAAGAATTGTCTTATGAAGAGTAAATGATAACAGTATATATTATCATTATTACCATCATTCTTTTTTATCATACAAGCATCCTGTATTAACTTTCCTAAATGGCAGGTTCTTTAAAACCAAGCCCTCTAGGAGCTGGGAGAGTGCTTGCCTTGCATGCATGAGGCCCTAGGTTCAATTCCTCAGCACCACATAATCAGAAAAAGCCAGAAGTGGCATTGTGGCTCAACTGGTAGAGCGCCAGCCTTGAGCTGAAGAGCTGAGGGACAGTGCCCAGGCCCAGAGTTCAGGTACTGTGGCTCAAGTGGTAGAGCACCAGCCTTGAGCTGAAGAGCTGAGGGACAGTGCCCAAACTCAGAATTCAGGCACCAGGACCGATAAAAACGACAAACAAACAAAAACCAAGCAAGCACGCTAGTCTACTGGCATCTCTATTTGAATCAAAAATTGCATTCAATATCTAAAGTTATGTCAAAATTTAGTCATTCTGTTTTCTCAAGGTAATATTTTCCAATCTTATCTTTTTCTGTTTATTAGCCTTTTCTCATTTAAGCTACTTTGGCATTCTTCTTTATTTACATGCTCTTTGTCCAAGATTATTTTTGTCTTTAGCTATCTTTAAGAAGAATCCTAAAGCAGAATTTCCACTCTGAAATGTAACTTTATAAGATTACCCAGAAATCCCAAGAATGCCTTCAAGCTAAGAAATTAAACATTGACTATTATCTCCGGAATTGCTTGTTCCACTTGCACTCTTTATCTTAATTATTAATGTTCCCTAAAATCCACCTAGTGCTCCAAGCTAGAAACTTCAATTACCTTCAACTTCTATACTTGAGTGTCTGAAATCTGTCATTGGCCTTCCTCCACTTCTATTAATACTGCCTTCTCTTACACCTAAAATCATGCAACTACTTTCTCAAGGTCCTTCCTGTCTTCACTCTCCATCCCCTATACCACAAGTATAATTAACAGTCAACTTTTTTAAAATAAGAAATATGACCTGCCCATTTCTGATTTGCTATTGTTTATGAAATAAAGTCCATGTATTAAATTTATGATTTATCCCCTTCCAATTCATCTTACAGAATGCTGGTAAATGTTTAACCACTAGATATCTAGGGGAAATAATCCCTAATTTATATCACTTATCAATTTCTTTAGTGTAAGTACTGCCATCATGGCTGGTTTCAAACCTCACTGATTTTAAACACAACCCAGAAATGGAATAGATGTATAAAATGTGCTCTTATGAACTGGTTGAACCAGCTCCATTGGAAATTTGTTCAATAAAATCTCTGGTCCCTTCACTTTCATGCCATATGCATTCCAGGTTTTAGTACAATCAGTTTCAAGCATATACTACCACTCTTCAAATATAAGTATATTTTGACACATAAACATAATGAACATACAATAGACTTATTTAAGTCATATAAAGTTTTATAACAATTCCTGTATTAATATGTTAATATTTGATGATGTATGACAGTCATGTTTTGACTTTTTGAATGTTTAGCAAGGAATTATTTTAGTGTCTAACAAGGTTAAATAGGGAGAATTTGAAGAAATATATCCTATTTTCCATTCAGGAAATAGAAATTAAAGATTCCATGTTTTTTTAACATCTAAAAATTATCCTTTTAACTAGATATGATTGTGAAGAACTGTAATTCCAGTGCTCAGGTGGCTGAGACAGGAAGATGTCAAGTTCCAGGCCTGCCTGGGCTACACAGTGAGTTCTAGGCCAGCCTGTGTAACTTAATGAAAACCTATTTCAAAATCCTTTCTTCAAAATTTTTTTCTTCTTTTGTGTGTTGGAGCTGTACATGTTATGCAAGTACTTTAACCACTAAACTATACTCCTGGTCTGAAAATTATACTTTGATAATTCAATGGCAATTAATAAATATGTAAATTAAAGGCACTACTAAATTTATGCTGGTTTGTGGTATTATGGATTCCCAACCCTCAGAAAGTAAAATAATTACCATTTATTTTCACAAGGAAAGGATTATAATTATTAATGTGTAAACTTCTTGTTCTGACCACAGCAGTAAGTCATCTACCATTTATAGCCATGAACTTTCACAACTCCACTATCCCTTTTCATAATTGTGCTCCACCTTAAACATTTCTGCCTTAGTGAATTAACAGCTACCATTTTGTTATGTCAGGTATTCTTTTATATACTTCAATTTTATTAGGTTGGTTAATCCTCAGAAGAAATTCATAATAGCTCAGAGAGATTCAGTACTTTTCCTATGGGCATATGGCTAAAAAACGTCTTCAGACTTAGGTTTGATTCACCAATTTTGTTTTTAAACAAATTAAGGTAATTTATACAGCTGAGCACTGGTGGCTTACATCTGTAATCCTAGCTACTCAGGATTCTAAGATCTAAGGATCTAGGTTCCAAGCTGGCCCCAGGAAGGAAACTCCCTAAAGCCGGAAATGTGGCTATAACTCAAGTGGTAGAGCATTAGCTTTGAGTGGAAAAGCTAAGCAAGAGCACATGGTCCTGAGTTTTAGCCCATGTGACCACTAAAATAAATATTATTCTCTTTGAAATACCTCCACTGCAAACCTGTCTCTAAATGAAACTTGCTCCCTCAGTGTTTTCATTGGCACTTTGCTTCTGTCTTAAGTAATAATAATTAGAACCATTTAGGCTTGCTGTACACTAAGCACTTTGTTAAACATTTCTTTTGGTATCTGGTTAGATTTTGTTAATGTTATCTCTGACTAATGAGATAACTGAAGCTGACAAAGATTTTTAAAAATTGCCCAAGTTTACACATCTATGAAGTGGCTGAACCAGCATAAGAACTAGAGTCAAATGACCTACTCAAGGCCATAGTCTTGATAATCTACCTTCTTACTGGCTGTTAACTCTTTGATGCCAGGAACAGGTGTTTTTGTTTTGTTTTGTGTTTTTTGTTTGCTTGTTTGTCAGTTGTGGGTCTTGAACTCTGGGCCTGAGCAGGGTCCTTCAGCTCTTCAGCTCAAGGCAAGAGCTCTACCACTTGAGCCACAGTGCCACTTCCAGTTTTCTGGTGGTTAATTGGGGATAAGAGTCTCATGGACTTCCCTGCCCTGGCTGGCTTTGAACCATGATCTTCAGATCTCAGCCTCCTGAGTAGGTAGAATTACAGAACAGGTTTTTGTTTAGGCAACCGAAGATACCTAAGCAATGCCTGGCATGTGGTTAAAAGTGTGAGTGGATAGTCATTCCACACATTTCCCTCTCTAAAGGTTTTTCTTTTTTCCTTATGGGACAGGTGTTCTGCCTAGGCTGTCCTTGAAGTACAGAGGTAAAGGGTCTTCCTGCCTCACCCTCATGAGTAGCTAGAAATCCAGGTACACACGACCACATTCCACTCCATACATTTCCATTCTTCTGAGAGGGTCAGTTTGATGGAATACATACACACACACACACACACACACACACACACACACACACACACAAACACGCACACTCCTCCCCTCATCAAGAAAAAAAAAAAAAAAAACACATCCTTCCCTGATATGTCTGTCCCACAAAAAGTAGAGCAATTTCTTTTCCTCTTTTAGAAATCATTTTTGTGGTCATTTTTAACCTTTGAAAAATGTTGGTTTGAGCTGGGTGATGTGAAGGTACAGTACTGTAACATTTTTTCCCCATTTCAACAATTTCCTTTCTATAAAAAATTTCAAATAACATTGACATATTTATTTCTTTAGATAAAACTTAGCCAAGTGGTAAAGCTAAAATGGTTAACCTATTTTTATTTTATTTTTAGTTTTTATATCTCAGTTGTACTTTTCTAACTTGTTTATTTTTATTTTCTTTTTTTGTTGTTAGTTTTTCCTGAGATTATTTTTGAAAACAATCTTGTTTTTAGGGCCAGTAAGACAATGCAAATCTGTAAACTCAGCATTTGGGGGAGCCATACGTAGGGTCATAAGTCTGAGGCCAGCTTTCATGCTACAGTGGAGGTGGAGTTTCACGTCTCACCCTCTTCCCCAAAGAGACGTTGCCTGGCCCAGGTGGCTTAAACCTGTAATCCTACTATCAGGAAGCTGAGATCCAGGGAGTTATGGTTCAAAGTCAGCCTGGGTAGGAAAGTATTCAAGACTTTACTTCCAAAGTGCTGAGCAAAAAGCAAGGCTAACAATGTGGCTTCAGTAGTAGAGGGCCAACCAAGCAAGCAGAGCAAGTAGGAATCTCTGGGTTCAAACTGCTGCACCAGAAAAAAAAAAAGTTTTTTTTGTTCAAAAGTGCACTGAAATCACCTAATTTGGCTACAACTATTAAATGCTGATGAAAGCATATTAACATATTAATCCTTAAGATTACCAACATAATAGAACTTTCTGCAACTTACTGGTGGTGTATTGAACCTAGAATATTGTCTGCTCTGGGCAAGTACTCTTACCACTCATGCATCCTCAGCCCACTTAGCCTCAAAAAGCTGGGATTATAGGTATTCTTAATCACCATAGAACCTTTGTTTTTGGTGGTACAGGGAACTCAGTACTGCTTCTGTAACTTCCAGCCCCTAAACTTTTAAATTACTTTTTTATACTGCAGCCATTTAATATTTGCCATTTGGGTTACATGTGTATATAAAACAGGCATATCCTTCAACTGGCCTTAAACTCTATACAAGTGCCCTCTCATATACATTTTGGAGTACAAATGGGAGCAAATAAGCTGACCTCAGGAAATGATCTAGTAAAAAATAGGTACTAAAGATTACTTTTACTAATCCCTTTCTCCTATCTTTTCAATATATAGGTAAGCACCATGAGTGTGTATAAACTAAAACACTTCTAAACATAAACTGAGAGTTTCCATGGACAAGAATATTATAAGGTCTGGGGCCAAAAGACACACATTGACTGGCAAAAAGCCATCTATTGTAGTTCACATGAACTCACTTGAGGTAGACTAGTCTGTCCAGTTCACGCTGGCTTCAGAGAATGATCTAGGCCTTCAGGCCATTTGTATTCAATTTTGTTGTTCTATATTGGCTTGTTCCACTGTTTTGTAATAGTCTAAGAATGCTTACCATTTCCCATAAACTGGCTGAGTTAAACATTTTTTATTCTGCAAATACAATTGATTTTCACCTACACTTAACTTCAAGATAAGAAGCAGAAAACTAGCTGATGAAACAGGTTGGGCCTGTGGGTAAGGAATGTTACCATACTTGAGCACAGGAACTGAGCAACGCAAGCTTCAGCAAGGCATGGGTAGTCCTGGTGGGCCTCTTCCAGCAAGGCTTCCACAACACCGGACACAAGACTGATATGCTAGTTCTGAGTCATGGAGATTCCAGTCACAGGCCTTTTCATGATGAGTGGATCCTAGCCTAAGTAGTTTAACTTTAGCTTGGCAGTTCCTAACTTAATTACTTTTTTTTTGGTCCGTCATGGGGCCTGAACTCTGGGACTGGGCGCTGTCCTTCAGCTCTTCAGCCCAAAGCTAGCACTCTACCACTTGAGCCACAGTGCCACTTCCAGCTTTTTCTGCTTATGTGGTGCTGAGGAATCAAACCCAGGGCCTCATGCATGCAAGGAAAGCACTCTGCCACTAAGCCACCTTCCCAGCCCTAACTTGATTACTCTTTCTATCCACATTGCAGATTGCTTTCACTGACCCACAGATTATATATTACACATATCATCTGTACAATTATATGACTCATGGGAATGTCATGCTCATCTTGCCACTCCATAATGGCTACATTGTCTATCTTCCAATTTCCTGAAACATTTTGATCAGTTACAAGTTTTATTTTTTAAACCTGCTTCTGCAGTCTTGAGCAGCAAATGTTGCTCAAATATTCCTAAGCACCTGTTTGAGCTCCCCTCCTGTGTGCTTACTAATCTTATTTTATAGATAATTAAAACGAAGCTGAAAAAGAAACTCTATGTAGGTTAACACAGCTAGAAAATATTCGAGCTAGAACTTGTATTTGGCTTTCTTATGTCTAGCTCCTAGATTCTATTAAGACACATTTTCAATCCTCACTTCCTTTAGGATTAGAATAACCAAGGGAAACATAAATTATAGCATCTAGCTAGATGAAACATTACATTACAGCTTTTAGCTACGGGAAAGATCTTAGCAAAAGGGAGGAAACCTGAGGGAGGCATGTGACTAAAGCTGACGAGGTCTGGAGAAGAAAGCAGGCTGAGCAATTTGTTGGGGAGAGTAAGTCTGGAAGGCATGAAAAAGAGAAGTAGGATATGGAAGGGAAACTCACTGATACAAGCAGAAATAAGGCTAAGAGGGAAGGCAAGGAGGATTAACACAAAGTAGGTTCCAGGATCTGAAGTCAAATAAATGAGCCCGCTGCTTCTGGAAAGCAGAAGACCCTTAACAGGGAGAGGTAGGCGTGGCCTCAAGCTTCCGGGGCCCGCATCAGCCCCGCCTCCCACGTGTTAGCCCCGCCCCCGCGTTGCCAGGCCCGCCCTCTGGTCTCTTAGGTGATGCTGCAGCCAAGATGGCGCTGGCAGCAGCCGTGGCGGCCTGAGCGTCATGCTCCCGGTCCTCGCCGACGGCGGCGCCTGTGGCCTCGGCCAAGGCCTCGAGTCTCTTCCGGGAGTGAGCGCTCAGGCTCCTCTCCTCTGGCCTGGTTAGTCCGGACAGAGAGGAACACTGAGAGAGCGGCTGCCCGCTCCCCGGCACCATGGCTGGCATCATCAAGAAACAGATCCTGAAGCACCTCTCCAGGTCAGTGAGCGAGCGCTTCGGCCGCGGGGTGCAGTCCGCCTCCGTCCACAGCCCGCCCGGGAGGCACTGGCTGCCTCGGGTGCTCCGCTCCCGTCCGGGGCAGAGGTCGCGGCCCCCGGGGGTGCGTCGCCGACGGCGCCGGGCGCTGGCCTCACGGGTCCGCCCGGGGGCGGCTTCTCCGGTGTCGGCCGCGGAGGAGCGCCGGGAGCCCCCCCCCCCCCCCCCCCCCCCGCCTCGAGGGAGCGGCGGGCTGGGGTCGCCCCCGTACGCGGCGTCCAGGGGGCGTCCCAGCGCGGAGGCTGGATTTGACCTGGCGTCCCCCAGACGCCTGCCGACTACGGCTCGGTGTGGGGCTCAGCGCACGGCGGTTCCGTTAACCCAGGGCGTGAAGCGTGGTGTGTACGCTCGGGGCCGGGACACGTTCACCTTGGGATTGTTCGCCGTCCCCACCACCTGGCGTCCCTGCTCGGGTCCACTGAAAGGGTGTGCCTGTTTGCACTGTTCGGATTTGTTTGAGATAAGCAGCCAGACGGCCGAGCTTTGGCGGAGTTCTTTCTGGGAGTCATTTTTTAAGTCCTTACATCATTGTTAAAGAGTTGTTCGCCCCCCCCCCCCATCCCCCTTTGCATACTGCGCCCCTTTAATTCAGGCTAACATCTGTGGTGATTAAACCCAAGACATGTCATTCTTTCCATTTCCCAACAGTTTTAGTCAGAATCATGACTCAGTAAACCGGCAGTTTGTTACTGCTCTTGGCTTCTCCATATTTGTCTCAACACACAGGCTAAATGTAGGACCTCGTTCCAAGTTGGTTAACAGGGAATTCGAAGCTCTTGGTTGGAATACCTTTCTCTTCTCTGTTATTTGTATGTTAATGATTATTTTTAGAATTGATTTTAGGAAGGGACCTGGGAATGAAGATAGACTTGTGTAGTAAGAATGATTGTTGATCCTCGATTCAGATTGTGTTATACCACAGGTGATATATTGGGGAAGGAAAACAATTCTGTAATTCAGCAAGTGTTTATGACTTGTCACACTGAATAAGATACAGCAGGTATATTTGAAGTAGCAAATTATAGTAATGCTTTTGAATTTTTCTGTGTGTGCGTGTCTTTCGGTAGTGAGGCTTGAACTCAGGTCTTATGTGTGCTCCCTTACTTTTTTTCCACTAAGGGCTGGTACTCTACCACTTGAGCCACAGCTCCACTTCTGGCTTTTTAGTGGTTAGTCGGAGATGAAATACTCACTGGTCTTTCCTTGCTTTGCCTGGCATCAAACCACAGTCCTCAGATCGTAGCCTCCGGAGTAGCTAGGATTACAATTCTGAGCCACTGATGCCTGACTTTTTACTTTTTGATATTATCACTAATTAGAAAGTTTTACTTATTTAGTTTTGTCAGTTGTGGGGCTTAAACTCTGGGCCTGGGCACTGTCCCTCAGCTCTTCAGCTCAAGGTGAGTGCTCTACCCTTTGAGTCACAACGCCACTTCTGATTTTCTGAATGGTTTATTGGAGATAAGAGTCTCAAGAACTTTCCTGTCCCAGCTGGTTTTGAACCGAAATCCTCAGATATCAGTCTCTTGAGTACCTAGGATTACACGTGTGAGCCACTGGTGCCCAGCTAGAAAGTTTGTTTTTAAGACAAGGTCTTGCTGTGTAGCCCAGACTGGCCTGCAACTCACTGTAGCCAGGCTCACTTTGAACTCCCAATTCTCCTGCCTCAGTCTCCCAAGTTCAAGTACTGAGACTGCAAGCCTGCATCACCACCACTGCGTGGAAGATTTCTTTTAAAATTGTACATGTAGTTCAATACTGACCTATACCATTCTGGAAGAAGGTTTTGCCCGTTTATTTTTTGTTTTTCTAATCAAATGCCCTCAGTTCTCTCTCTCCAATTCCATAAGAAAATTCAAATCCACAGACAATAATCTGAATAGTTTGTCATTCTTACATGGATTGAGGAAAATTTAATTCAGTCGATAAATAGTTTAGTGCATTCTCCTTTCAGTTCTCTTGAAGAAGTAAGTCCACTTGGGAAATACTGAAAAACTAAGACCGGCAGGGTTTAGTATTGTAATCCTGGCTACTCAGGGGGCTGAGATTTGGAGGATCAAAATTTGAAGCCAGCCTGGGGGAAAGAAAAGTCCCACAGACTTATCTCTAAAATAACCAGCAAAAAGCTGAGCTGGAGCCAGATATCAGTGCTCAAGCCTCTAAACCCTAGCTACTCAGGAGAAGAGATCTGAGAATGGAGATTTGAAGCCACTCCAAGCAGACAAATCCTTGAGATTCCTTTCTCCAAATAACCAAAAACTGTTAGTAGAACCTGGCCCAGTTGACTTATGCCTGTAATCACAGTTACTCAGAAGGCGGAGATCTGAGGATTGCAGTTCAAAGCCAGACAGGTAAATCTGTGAGACTCTTATCTCCAATTAAGCACCAAAAAAAAAAGCCAGAAGTGGAGCTATGTCTTAAGTGGTAGAGCACTAGACTTGAGCAAAGAAGCTCAGGGACATGGCCCAGGCCATGAGTTCAAACCCCAAGACTGGTACAAAAAGAAAAAAAAAAGAAAGTAGCTGAATGTAAGTGCATAGCTAAAGTGGTAAAATGTCAGCCAAGCAAATAGAAGTCCTTGACTTCAAACCCCAGCACCAGGAAAAATAAAAATAAGAGCAAAGTATAATGGCTTAATCCATTAGATTCATTAGATATACACATTTTGTATATTCAGAATTTAGTCTTTAGGGTTATTATGATTTCTTACAGCTGTGTCGTAAATGATAATTAATTTTTTGGAGTGGGTTTTTTTTTTTTTTAAAGTGGCACCGAGATTCAAACTAGGAGCCTTGTCCTTGAGCATGCTAGGCAAAAACTGGACCACTGGAGCCATATACCTGCCATCTTGTTTGTATTTACCTTTGACCAGGCTGACCTCAAACTTGGAATTGTTCTGCCTATGCCTACTGGGTAGCTGGGCACCACCACGCCTGGCATAGTAATGTTTGTTAAACACTACAGTTTTCAGTTATTTCATATTTAACAATGTCTTTAGGTTACTTAAGAGTATCAGTTTTATAATTTGGTTTGTATATTTGATTTTAATTATTGTTGTCATCTTCCTAAGAAAATGACTAATCACAAATCTCATAGCTATTCATCTTAGGTAAACAAGGCAGATGTTGTGATAAATTATACTGGTTCCAATAGGAATGAACTTTTGAAATTACTTCGGTCAAGTTTAATTGTATACACTGTTTGTTGTTGTGAAGCTGTCTCTATCTTAATCTGGTGTTCTACAATACAATTTAATATTTAACAGAAAATACTCAAAAGGTATTACTTTCTATTAACAGATTTGTCATGTAACTTGTGCATGTACCCCATGGTGCCTTCTCAAAGGAAGCTTTTCTAGATGTTCAGTTTACAATTGTGAACTTCTGTCCCCTACTTACCCCCTCCCCCCCCCACTTTTGTTGGTGTTGGGGTTTGAGCTCAGGGCTTTGCACTTGAGAGTCAGGTGCTCTACCATTTGAACCACTGTCCCAGCATCTCTTCCAACTCTCTTACTTGCTTTACTTTTCTCTGTAGCACTTATTTTCATCTGTCAAAATACATCTTTATTTATGTCCCACTCTCTACTTGAATGAATATAAACTCTATGAAGGCAAGAGTTTTTTCTTGAGGCTAGTACAGTCATTCAGTAACTATTAGTTGAATGAATAGCATAGATGTTGACTTTTCCTTAAGTTGCTAAAGCTTTTTAACTGAGACAAAACCATATGCCACCAGTATTTTCATAGATTTGAGGATGAGTCATTTTATTATGGTTTTCTTCAGTCATTAAATAATATGGTACCTTTCATGCTCTGCAAAGGAGGAGGTAGGAAAATAATCTAGTTCTTACAGGATTTTATAGGGAGTCTTTTAGCAAAAGGAAAGACTGTAGGAACAAATAGGAGAAAAGAGAACATTCACTTCGAGGTTGAAGTATAGTGCATTAGAGATTAAAGCTAGTGTTGTTTTGGATGTAAAGATTTGAGGAACTGGTGTGTTAGGTGTGAAGGAGGAATTATTCTTTAAGAGATTAACAAATGCTTTAAATGATGAACTACTTGAGAATGATTATCTGTATGTTTGTTTCTTGCCTAATTGTTCAGTTTGTAATCTAAGAGTGTCTTGGATTAATGAAGTTTCTATACTTTTACTAATCTGAATGGAAGTTGTTCTTATAGAGGAAGGGGAGGAAGTTAGAGGAAATCCCACACTGCCTCTCCTCCCCCAACCAGGTTTTTTTTTTTTTTTTTTTTTTGCCAGTCCTGGGCTTGAACTGAAGGTTTAGGCACTGTCCTGAGCTTCTTTTGTTCAAAGCTAGCACTCTACCACAGCACCACTTCTGGTTTTTTCTGCTTATGTGGTACTGAGGAATTGAACCCAGGGTTTCATGCATGCTAGGCAAGCACTCTACCACTAAGCACTCTCCCATTAAGCCACAGCCCCCGCATCAGGGTTTTGATTTAGGACTATGCCCTTGCCAAGCAGTCACTCGACATTTGGGTCACACCCCCAACCCTATGAGTTACATTTTTTTTTAAGAGAAGTGAAACAGGAAAAGACTTTGAAGGAGAAATTACCATAACCCTTTAGATTAGAACAGCACAAGGTATGTGTTGGAGGTGTTTGTAGGAGAATCTTTTTTCATCAGAGAATAGAAAGTTAAAAAAATGTTATATCCAATAAGAGCCAGCGCTATCTTTCAGCTCCTGACTTTATTATACAGGTGGGTACAGGTATGTGTGCAGGAACAAACAGAGCAAAGTATTTAATTAAGCCAGGATCTGAAAAAGGGCAGAGAATATTGACATACAAATGCTTCTCTTGTTTGTAAACATTTGGGTAAATGCCCAAAAGTGGGATTGCTGGGTCATAGGGGAGCTCTATGTAGAGTCTTTTGAGGAACCTCCATACTACTTTCCAAAGTGGTTGAACAAGTTTACACT